AGACAACAAAAGCTTAAGACTGACGTTTAAAATTGCTATTGAACATGCTATTTATTAAAAGTTCATTTTAACAATACTAAGGACAAGAAATCAGTGATTCTTACAGAGAATAATGTCCTCTTGACTGTACTTCCAAAATACATTCTACATCTATCCACTTTTCTTCATCTCCATTGTCTCCAACCATACTCTAAGCTACCATCATGTCTGCCTAGTTTATTGCAAAAGTTTCCCAAGTCTCCTCGCATCATCTCTTGTTCTCTCGTATAGTTCATTCATTACACAGCAACCAGAGTGACTGTCTTAAAAGCCAAATTAGATCACATTACTCTTGCCCTTAAATATTTCTTGGTGACTTCTTCTATTCTTAGAATGTAGCTCAAACTTCATTCCACAAGCCCACATAACCAACTCCATCTCTTCCTCCCTCTACAACTTAGACAGCATCTTGACAACCCTCCCATTTTCATTCTTATGGTCCTGCCATAATTTCCTACTGTTCCATCACATCAAAAATTTGTCTGGCCTAAGGCTTTGGTGTTTAATTTTTTTTTTCCTGTTTAATTTGGTATTTGCTCAAATCTTCAGATGGGTGACTTCTGTCACTCATATTGCATCTCAAGTGTTGCTTTTTGGACAGGTTTTCCCTTGCCATCTAGTCACTATTACATAGTCTTCTTTTACATTTAGATTTTATTTTATTTCACACCTGAAATAATCTTTCTTTCATTTATTGTTTCTTTCTCTTCTAGAATGTTGGGTCCATGAGAATGTGAGTTTGTTTTCACTGTTTGGCACCTAGTAGGCTCTCAATATTTGGAGGAAAAAACAGATTTTTTTTTAATAGCTATCATTTAGGCCCTATGTATATTGATCAAGTGGGGTGAACTCTTCCAAGGCTGCCTCAGAACTAACATATTAAAATGAAAATAATTTAATCACTTCATTCAAAAGCTGCTCTACAGCTTCATTTAACACAGAAAAAATAATATTTTACTTTGGCAGTCCTTTGCTTTATTTCCTATCCTCCATCTATCAGTTCTCAGTCATTTTAAGAATGTATCTATGGACTACAAAGAACCCTAATTCTCAGCAGCTCTCTGAGGAGGTTAGTTTCTTTAACAGGATAGTCTCCTCATTTCTCAATGACCTTGAGGCTATCCCTATGGAACCACTTTAATTTGTCAGTTTTAAGGTAAGGAGTCTGTTGGGTATGCATCATCTCACCTCTCTTCTCTATGGGCAACCGTCTCTTGGACACGGTATACACTGGTCAGAGTCCCAATATATGTTAATATTTATTCTTCAAATGGGCTTCTTTAAGTGAATAATAAAAGCTCTCACAAGTAAGATGCTATTATTACATGTATTTACTACACTATGGTGGGGGAAAATATTTCAAGAAAAATAAGGCTGAGGATTGTTGAACACAACATCTTCAAAGGTATTTCCTACTGTCTTAGATAACAATATGAAATGTCCAAAGAATTTTTAACCTAATTTAAGATGTATTTTTAAATGGCCTGTTTTTGGATTTTGGTAGACTGATGTTGAGAAAACAATACCAAGTGTTAAGACTCTTCTTCACTGAACATGCCAAATCAATACAACCAGATCTATTATTAATAGATCTTTTACTAGTGAGAGGTTATATAAGCAGACATAACCATGAAATGGTCAATCTACATACATGTAGTTGGGAGCTGTAGCCGAGATTTTTAAGAGGAAAATTACCCTCGTATAAAATCTCTCTGGCCTACTGTGGTACTCATCTTTAAAAAAAGTACTTCCCCCAATTTAGAATTTCATACAAAGTAAATTATAAAATACTTATACAGTCTAGAAAAGCATAAACTAGATCATGGCAATGAACCTATGCCTGCTGTTTAGAAATAAGTATTTTTAGTATCTTAGTCTATTAGCTATTATCATTAATTTTATTGTCCATGAACTCTCATTTTTCCCAAGTAGTCAAACGAGCACTACTCAATAACTAGATTAAATCCGAAAAGTGGTATCTGAGTTGTTTTGAACTTTTAAGAACAATTTCTTACAGAACTGCAGAAGAAATTCTGCCTATTTAACTTACAATACAGATGAATGAGAAATACCTCCTGTATTTCTGTTCTTCTTTCCGTTTCTTACAATAATGGCAGATATTGTAGCCTCCTGAAGGGAAGGGAGCTCTGAAACCTGGAGGACTGTGTTTTACCCTTTGAGAGACATTTCTGGACATCCTTGATCTTCGTCAGTTGTTCCTAACACCTAAGATACCTATAAAGAGGCTACGGTCACTCTGAGAGTACATGTGCATATAAAACCCAGGAATCAAGCAAAAACCAATGCCAATTATCCTCTTGGAAGAGTACCCTTGAAAAGTTCCCACAATCCAAGGTTATAGTTTTAGTTCTTTTCCTGGGGTGCATGAAAATAACTGGAACACAACAAAATAACTGTCTGAGTTGTGTAAATTATATAAAGGAATTTACCACAAAGATTGGAAGCATAATACTTGTGAACTGGTAGGTTTCAAACCCCCTTTGGTACTTACAAAATGGCAGATATTGTAAAGCAAAACCACTGTAAATTTAAGTTGGAAGTGTAAAGAACAATATTAAATGTTCCTTTTTTTCATTAGTTGTTAAATTTAATGTTTTTGGAAAGACCAAAAAACTCTAAATAAAATGGTTTTCTTCTTTACTGACCCTGAGTCTGTAGGTTAAGTGCTTACAGAAGGAAATAAGTATAGGCTTTACCAGAGTTACCAAATAAGCAACTTGATCTAAAACATTTTCAAATTTGTTACAATTTAAAGAAAACTAGTCCCATTTATGCTTTTAACATTCATGTTAGTACTTTTAATATTACTAAAATATCTCCAGACATTTTCAAAAATAAAGGTTAAATTAACTTATTTCCAAGCACATAGTTTATTTTAAAAAACCTTTGAAATATCATTAGTACAGATAATATATGTAATAACACTATACTTTGATTCCAGACACATACAATGAATGTGCTACCAAGCAGCACAACACACAGCACCATCCGTATAGTAAATGACAAGAATACCTTAAAATCAGGGATGACAGTGTGCTATATTTGTACAGAAGTGATAGATAAACCAAAAGGGCAGGCATGAGGTGGCAATATACACAGGTAGATTAGGATGCTAATAAAGGTGGTAGGTACACTTGTATTTGTCAATTATATCTCAATAAGGCTGAAAAAAAAAACAACCCAAAAAATCCAGCAGTGGTAAGGGAAGTAGGGAGAGAAGAATTAACAAAAGGAAGAGGTGATATATCACTATTTTGCCTATATAACGTTATCCATGCATCCAACCAACCAGTTATTAAAACACTTAAAAGGAACTAGGTACTATGTAAGGCTTGATCATACTTGGACCAAAAGCACACAATTTTTTTTTTTTTTGGATGGTTGCTCAGAAGTGCCATCTGATCTCAGAACAGAAAAATCTAATTAGTGCTCACTGAATTCACTTCCACTCTTGGTCTTATCAGTATTTTAAGCGCTCACTGACTCTGAATCTTTTAAACTCTGGGTCGTTTGGTCCTCTAGCCATACATTCAACTGAGAGTCTCTAATTTACAGCTTCAAACAGCCTCTCTTGCTACATCCAATCAATGTACGAAAATGTTATGGCTTGATGTGAAAAGCTGGGGAAATACACAGACCACTGGAAAGATGGAGCCATGCTCCAGGAACAACTTGGAGCTTTCTGCTTACCTCCCACTCTTGACTCAGACACAGTATATCTATATCTATCTACCTAGCATTAAATCAGCACCTTCTCTCAACCCTGTTCAACATAATTCATGCTGTTCAACACAATTCATTTATTGTAAAAGGAAGGACACTGCTCTTGTAGAAAATGCTATATGACAATGCGTTTATCACTTGACCCTGTTAAGCGTCAGTTTCCTTTCTATAAAATAGGATTAATAGCTGCCTTGCCTAACTCACAGGGTCACTGAAAGGATCAAATAAGATAATGTACTTGTAAACTGCTAAACGATCATTACTATGAAAGTTGCTCCTTTTGGAACTTTTGAACTTTTTTCCAACTCATAGTTTAATTGTAAGGTTGGTTAGAATATCCAGATATAAAAAACTAATAGGATTTTGGAAAGGACAACAGGCAAATAAAGGAAAATGCTGATAAAGATAATAAGTCAGAAAATAGGAAGTTAGTCCCAGAATGACAGTCAAGTCCTGATGCAAAACCAGGCCAGTTATGTGCTTACTCTTTGCAGACACTGGCCAGTTCCCCTAGCACACGCAAACACTAAGCTGTACTGTGCTACTTTTAGGTGAATCACTGGGGATAAATTGAGTCTGGAAGTGCAAGGGGAGGGACTTCCAACCCTGATGATCAGGCTCTTCCCCCACCCCTCTAACAAACACTCCTACTCTTTGTGCCTGGCCCAGTTAATGAAAACTATTCCTGGTAAGAAAATGGCTGTCAAAGATTTCTTTTACGCAGTCTTGTAACTATGAGACACCAGCTGTATACCTACTTCTTCCCCCACTACGAATTATCTTGAATGGACAGGTTCAGGGTCAGAAACACTGGGTTATGTTTTGTTTTTCTCAAGACTCATTCACAGGCCTCACCCTCCAAGCTTCAGTTCTCTCATCTGTAAAATGAAGAATGACGGCGCCTGTCAGCTTCATCCCAGGGCCACCGAGAGGATGAATGAGACAGTGCCTGGAAGGCGCCAGAAGTGATGTCTGACAAACACCAAGTCCATCAATGTTTATAAAGTGTTATGATAGTCCCGTTATGACCTCCCGCCTAAAAGAAATGGCCGGGTTGGAAGTGACACCCGCAGTCACTGAAGAAAGAAAGCAACGCCAAAGCTGCCAGGCGTATCCTCACTGAATCTTTTTTGGGGCGAGAGGGAGGAAGCGACACGGGGCCCCGGGAGAGGGGGAGGGGGAAAAGGAGGATGGATGGAGGTCCATGATGAGCCTACCTGTTGTTCCGGATGCTGACCAGCACGCACAGTACCAGCTCTAAGTAGGTGCGCAGCACTTCCAGCCAACGGGTTGAGAGCTGCAGGGCCTCGACTTCTTCCCCGCCAGTCCCAGGATCCGCGCCGCCTCCGTCGCCTGGGCCGCCGCCACCGCTCAGGTAATTCTCGGCGGCGAACTCAACACGCAGCTCTCGCACGAACCAGCCGCACTTGCGCATGAGGAATTCGAGCCGAGGCTGCTCCGCG